TTCCCCTCCCCCATTTCTGAAGAAGGGTCTAGGCCCGAAACGTCAGCTTTCCTGCTCCTCTGATGCTGCTTGGCCTGCTGTGTTCATCCAGCTCTACACCTTGTTATCTCAGATTCTCCAGCATCTGCAGTTCCTACTATCTCTCTCAATTTAATTCATTGTTTTGATATTTATCAATGTCTGATGATAAAATAAGCGACAGAAAATGATCCATCCAAATGTTATTGTTTGCTCAATTCTCTTCTTTGTTATTTTACCAGATCTATAATGTCATCTCCTGCAAACCTGGTTTGTTTTAACATCTTTTCGTGGAGGTGCCATTCTGTAACTTGGAGTAGATCTTGTATAGCATATATTTATTCTATAACTTTGTAATCTGCTTATGAAAAGTATGCAGTTGTTGATGTTAATCCTGTATATCACTTTCTCCTCTGCCCCTCTTTAGCCAGTTCGACTATTTTCTGACAATCTGCTCTATTTTAATTTTTATCTGCTGTTTTGTGTTCATTTGTTTTGATTACGGGCTATTTTCAATGGAACTAACTAAATTTGGAGGAGGTTTGTTTGAAGTAAATAAGATTATGACGAATGTTGTTAAGGTAGGGGATGGGTGTTCCCACAAAATAATGGAACAAGGACAAAGGGACATCGATTTTAAGGTTTTTGTTAGTGTGCCATCAGGAATGAACTTCCTGAGGAAATGGTAGATGTGGGTACAGTTACAACATTTAAAACACACTTAGATAAGTACATGAATAGGAAAGGTTTTGAAGGTATACGGGCCAGGAGCAGGCAGGTGGGACTAGTTTAGTTTGGGATTATGTTCAGCATGGATTGGTTGAATCGAAGGGTCTGTCTCCATGCCAAATGATTCTGACTATGTAAAGAGGAACTTTTTTATACATGGAGTGAAAATGACCTGGAACACACTACCAACAGAGATGGTAAAAGTAGAGGCAATGAATGATTTTGAAATTAAATTGGAGGAAAATCAAGTAAATTAAACTTTCAGGATAATCAGGATAGAGCATGTGAATGAGATTGATAGGATTGCTCTATAGAGACTCTGATGGGCTGAATGGCCTCCATCTGTGATGTAACTTCTCTGAGATGAAGCTCAGTATTAAATATGCACAATAAGAGCAATCATAGCTCTACTGGGGTAGAAAATATGAAAGATTCACATCTGCCCTGTTGAAAAAACTTTCTCATTTCACTTCTAATTGGCTGACCCTTTATTCTCAGACTGTGACCTTGGGTTCTGATAATGTCAGGAGCCTCTGTGCTCACTTCTTGCATACGTTTAAGACTTACATCTAGGAAATTACCAGATTTCATTAATGTTGGAAAATCATGCAATGGTAAAGACAGCATGCAACTTTAGAAATGAAACATCAATGGGATGAAAGATTAAGAACTACAGAATGCATCTAAGTTCACTAAATGTTTGCAGTTTTGTTTCTTCTTCAACACGACATCAAAGCATACAATGGGAATTTACATTCACTGGAAAATACTCTGGTCAAGATGTTCATGGAAGTGTTTTTATTTCAGGTGGCTGTTCGGATCACACGACCAGTGTTGCTGTTGGAGCCCTGGGTGGTTACCTTCGTTTCTATGGAACAAGCAGAACTTTGCAAGAACACCAGCAATTTAGCAACAAGGCTTTATTGCGTCATTTATAGTACATTACACCTAGTTCTGTTTTTCAATCTAAGAATGAGTGTAGTTATTCATACAAATATGTTTATCGTCATCTACCTAGACACACAACGTATTGAGATACAAGCTAGCACGTTAGAATTCTAGAAAGATATCCATTCAAATTACAGATAGTCATTTGGTAGTGCAGGACTTGCTGAAAAAAAAGACATTGTCTCAAAGTTCTTCATCTTGCACTGATCAGGATAACTTGCAAGAAATACCAATTATCCATTTCTTTAAGAATTAACCCCTGCTCATGAATCAGGAGTTTCTGATCTTATCTGGAATATAGAATAGTTTCCAGAAAAGATTAAAACAGCAACGAGGGGTGATGTGGATAGGCACTCTATTTTGGTTTATGATGGTATTTACCCCAAGGAAAGGCAATTCATCTTTCCCATTAGAAATGCAGTGGTGTAAGTGATATGCTGGCAGGATGGAAAGTTAAAAATAAACAGCATCGTCTTTAGACTTTACAGTAAAGGAGCGAAATATGATGTTAACTTATGGTAAAATGTTATAAAGTAAAAGTTGCAGGAAAAGTTCCATCCTACAGATTGTTCTAACATATGTATAATCCAAGGGAGTGTTTCCAGTTCACAATTGTCACAATAGTTTTCCCTATGGTGGGGGATTTCAAGACTAGGGGACATATTTTTAAGATGAATGGAGAAAGATTTAAAAAGGACTGAGGGGCAACTTTTTGTTTTACACAAAGTGGTCTGTGTGTGGAATTAAATCCAGAGGAAGTGGTTGATGCGGGTACAGTTACATTTAAAAGACACTTGGATAAGTACATGAAAAGGAAAGATTTGGAGAGATATAGGACAAGCACAGGCAGGTGGAACTAGTTTAGTTTGGTATTATGGTTGGCATGGACTGGTTGGATCGAAGGGTCTGTCTCCGTGCTGGATGACACTGAGAAACCACTGTTCCATTTACAAAATACTGCTGGTAGTTGATACCTCTGCTTGCAGAAAATGTATTACTTTTCAATGTTTTTCCTGTCTTCTACCTAACTGCTTCTTACTGAGTTTTATAAAGAATGCCAGCAATTCGCTGTAGTTGAAGAGGACCTTCAGGTGGGCCCGGTGCACCCCGGAATGAAAACCAACAATTCCCACTGGTCAATTTCATTAATCCTAGTGCACTCCTCAATTCTGTTCTGTTTACAGAATTCATACCGACTGCAGTAGAACTACATAACTCTGCAGAACATTAAATGATGTGTCATAAATTGCTTTTGTTTTATTGTCCACTTTATTCAATAAAATATAAAGTGAAGTGCAGACCCTTTGTCAATTTTATATGACAGGTCTTTCAGAACAAAATGTGCTCACAAAAGTAGATGAAATCATAATCCAAAATCTTTTACTTACAAATACGTCACAGTAAAAACAAACACAACTCTGACAAGTAAGTTTTTAAACAGCTTGACAAAATTTTCGTGCAATATTAAAACACAGTCTCTGTTGAACATGGACTAACAAATGATTAAGTCACAAATAAGGTCTGGAGTAATATTTCCTACCCATGAGGAACAGTCATTTCTTATGTCACTAACAAGATACATAAAGAACATACCTGTCGAAGTTGCAGTTTATAAAATGAATTAGAGAATTTATAGAGCCAATATGTAAATATTGCATTGCAAAAGGTTTAGGTCAAATATTTTCCAAAATGATATATTCCTTTGAACAAGTTGAAATGTAAAACAATTCTTAGTAAGCTCAACCTTGCTTCAAGGAAGATAAATATTTTGCTAGTTATTCCAGCCAATGATCTCATAAATCAATGACTTTAACAGCCGTGCCTGATATGTAACTGTATTTTTCCCTGAGTGCAGTTTCTGTTCTTCCAAGGGCTGCTCGATTACTGCTAACACATTCTTGCCATAAACTAAATGGATCAAAAATAAAATTACAATATTATTAAATCTGCAAATTTTTAAGGGAAGAATGTACACATATGTAGTGCTTTTCACAACTTCAGGTCAACACAAAGTGCTTCATTTAAAATCCTTGTCCCTATATCAAGCACCAGCACAAAAATTCTCACCTAGAGCTTTCACTATATCATCCTTTACATTCCCTGAGCTCACTGACTTTTAACCCCTGATGATTTCAACCTCCATCTAAATTCATTGTCCTCCTATTCTCCGACTATATAAAATCCCTAATCAATATTCACAGACACACCCTTGACCTTACCATCACGAATGTGCTCTCTGTCACAGATAAGACCTTCTCCGACCATCTCCTTGTCTCATTCTCACCCACAGTTCCCTTACCACTCCCAATCTTGCTTCTTTCTATTTCCCCCTCTGGAAAAAGAACATAATTCACTTAAAACTGCATTAACAAAATTCCAACCGTTTTGCCTGTGGCTCCATGTCCACCATGACATTTCTGCAATTGCCAATTTGCTTAAGCACAGATGACATGTGATGCCCTAATCCCCATTAAGCACATTACTTGCACTCACCCTGACCTTTGCTCCTTTCACCTCTGTTCCATCACGTCCCAGAAATTTAGACTTGGATGGATATGGTGGACAACAGTTTATCCATCCATTGCTATATCTGGCTAAACCACATAAAACATTATCAGGTCCTGATCCGTCTACAGAAACAGTTCACTATGAGAACAGGTCAGAGAATAGGAATTCTGTGGCACATAACCATCTAGAAGGACAGGGGCAGCAGATACTTAGGAAAACCAGTACCAGCATGCTACCATCCAACTTACACTCCATCCTGACTTGGAAATATGCTGCTGTTCCTTCATCGTTACTGGGTAAAATCCTGGAAGTCACTTCCTAACAGGACAGTAGGTGTAGTTACACCCCAAGGATACTTGAGGTTCAAGAAAGCAGCTCACTACCACCTTCTTAAAGACACTTACGGATGTGCAATAAATGCTGGCAGCAACAGGAGAAATTATGATAGGAAATGAGAGACATGGCAGAGAAGCTAGGCACATAATTTGTGTTTGTCTTCACAGATGAATACACAAATTACCCTGAAGTAATTAGATTAAAGGATCTAGTAAGAGTGCGGAAATGAAATAAATTAATTATGTTAAAAATAATATTGGAGAAATTAATGGGACTGAAGAACAAATCCTTGGAACTCAGGGCATTATGCCCTATGGTCCTAGGTTCTCCCTCAAGGGGAAACAACCTCTCATCATCTACCCTGTCAAGCCACCTAAAAACCTCAAATGTTTTAATAAGGTTGCCTCTCAGCCTTAGATGTCCATCTTACTCAACCTCGCCTCACATGAAAATCCCACCATGCCCAGGATTAACTAAGCGAACCTTCCCTGGACTGCCTCCAATGCCAGTGTCTATTTCCTTAGATAAGGGCTCCGAACTGTTCACAGGATTCTAGGTATGGTCTATGTAGTGCCTTGTCTAGTTTTAGCAAGACTTCTGCATTTTTATACTCCGTTTTCTAAATAAAGGCCAACATTGCATCCAGCATTTGCAACTCCTCAGATACTGAAGCAGTCCACGTCTAAATACAGCAGATCTGTAGTAGTAATATTGGGAAAGGCATTGAAAAGATAGAACAGGATACTTCTGAATGGTGAAAGGTTAGAAATAGTGGGATGCTCAAAGAGATGTGGGATCCAGGAATTTAGGCCATTAGAACAGCATGAAGAAGCACAGAAATTAATTAATGCAGCTTGAAATGCTGGCCTTTAAATCTAGAGGATTAAAATATTAGGAAGGTAAAAATGATGCAGCAGCTATACAAGACCCAGGTTAAACACTTGGAGTACTGAGAGTGGCTTGGGAACCACACCTCAGAAAATATATATTGCTCTTTGAGGAGTGCTGTATAAATGTACCAGAATTATTCCTGAGGTTAAATTAAAGGGAACTAGGGATGTATTCCCTGGAATTTAGAAGGTTAAAGGGTGGTTTGATCAATGTTTCCAAGATATTAAAGAGGAATAGATCAGGTAGTTAGAATAAAACTGTTTTTGAGAGTTGAGGAGCCTAAGATTAGGGGCTACAGTCTAAAAGTTAAAGACCTTTCAGCGGTGAAATTGGGAGTTTTGTTTTACGAAGTAAGGATGATAGGAGTTTGGAACTCACCTCCACAAAAAGGAATTGATACTGTTATCTTCACAAATTAAATAAATCTAACTAAACCAAAAGACTTCCACATTATATGTTTGCCTTGCTTCCAGTCGTTGGAATATCACTGATCAACAGGGGTCCAACAGCTTGAGTAATAATGACTGGATACTTACTTTCACAATGTTCTAAGAACTGGATACATTCTTGTATAACGGTGTCCCTCAGCATAATCATGTGTTTTGCCATATTCTCCAGTAAAGACAAGAAGCACCGTTTGGCATAATACCAAGTATCTGTTCCAAGCTATAAAGGAAAAAAAACAGACCAGTGTTTTGTAGCGAGGGTTAATTCATGAAACTTGGACAAAACTTTATGTTAAATCAGCTGCGTGTTCATTTCATGAACCTTTGTCGAAGACCACTGTGTAATAAAATCTTCTGTTAAAAAGATTTGCATTTATTTTCTCTAAAATATAATGTATTGGGATCCAATTGGCTACTTTAAAACATCAAGGTCAAAGTACACATGATTCCTTTCACAGAAATAATAGCCTTTGAAAGATGTGTGTTATTTTGTAAATCAAAAGAATTCCAATCATTCACAAACATCTTGGGGGGAGTGACTCACTTGAGTATTCAAAGTAGGTCTTTTTTTGCCATTTTGACTTAAAAGAAATTTCAAAAATATTAGATTGATTTGTGGAAGAAACTATTTTGTTTTCCATTAGGGAGATTTGCTATCTACAGGTAGTCATATTTTTACTCATAGTTTTCTGTACCCCTGTCCAGGCATTAACAAATATGCAATCATCACTCCAGATACAGAGTTTGTAAGCTAAAAAAAAAACCTTCTGGGGAACTACACTGAAACCACATTTTAGTTTTAATGCCAAAGGATGTATAGTGAATTACAGGAACAATAGAACATTAATTTTGAAATTAAAAGGATCAGTTTCATTTATATAAATCCTAATATTTACGTTCCCTGAAGTATTTGCACAGTATGTGTTGGGTTAAATGGACTATGGCTTGCAAATAAGATAGATCACTTTCAGTTTTCTTTTGCATCCATTCCTAAATTAAAATTGTCTTCATTGCCTCCCCACCGTGGCTCATTCTAATCTGATGATTCAAAACATTTTTAAAAGAAAATTATATAATTGGCTTCCTAAACATTTAGTAATTTGGTAGCACAGAACTTGACTGTATGACTATCCTTGAAACTGAAATTCCACAATTATTCAGGAAGGCTATAAAAAGACACATGTTGTCAAAGCTCATCTTGTCATTCCTCCAGGGTGGCAACTAGAACTGTACACAGAACGCCAGCTGTGGCCTACTTAGTGTCCATACAGTTTCGCTACTACATTCCTGCTTTAGTATTCAATACCTCTCCCAAAGGAGGAAAGCATCCCACAGACCTTCTTTACCGCCTTACCTACTGTCACCTCCAGAGACCTGTGCACATGATATCAACGTCTCTCACTTCCTCCACTCGTAAGGGCATAGGAAATCCTTTGAATACCCGCCTGTTTGTTGTACATTTACATGCTATGATAACCTTCTCCAAATGCATAATCTTGCACTTCTCCAGATTGAATTTAATATGACATTCTTCTGCTCACTTATCCACTGATATCATCTTGCAGTTGACTGCTATTCTCTTCACTATTAACTACCCTGCCAATTTTTGTGCTGTTTGCAAATTTTTCCATTCATGCATTCTTCACTTAAATCTAAATCATTATACCACAAACAGCAAGGCCCCCAAAACTGAGCCCTGTGGCACACCACTGCAATTATTCAAGTGCCATGGATACAACTGTAGTTTTGAATTGCTCGGACATAATGGATGCATTGACAGTAATCTTTCAAGAATCTGTAGATTCTTGGAAACTGCCAGAGCATTGGAACACTGCCAATGTAACACCCTTATTCAAAAAGGAAGGGAAACAAAAAAATAACTAACTATAGGCTTAACAATTGTTCATTGAGAAAATGGTGCTGTCCATTATAAAATACACAATGGGAGAGAATTTGCAAATATATAACATAAATCAATTAGAATCAGCATGGGTTCATGAAGGGGAAATCGGGCTTGACAAATTTAATAGAGTTTTTTGAGAAGGTATGGGGAGGTGGTGGCCTAGTGGTATTATCGCTGGACTGTTAATCCAGGTACCCAGATAATGTTCTGGGAACCTGGGTTTGAATCCAGCCACAGCAGATGGTGGAATTTGAATTCAATAAAAAAAAATTTGGAATAAAGGGTCTAATGATGACCATGAATCCATTGTCGATTGTCGGAAAATCCCATCTGGTTCACTAATGTCCTTTAGGGAAAGAAACTGCTATCGTTACCTGGTCTGGCCTACATGTGATTCCAGACCAATGTGGTTAACTCTTTAACGGCCCTCTGGGCAATTAGGAATGGACAATAAATGCTGCCTGGCCAGAAACACCTCATCCCGTGAATGAATTAAAAAAAACAAACTGAATAGATAAAGAATGACCCAGTAGATATACTATGTTTGGACTTCCAAAATACGTTCAATAAAGGTACAGCATATAAGGCATTTTAATAAAATAGGAACGCATGGTGTGGGGATTGTTCATTAGTATGGACTGATGATTGGCTAACTAACAGAAGGCAGAGTTGGGATAAAGGGGGGCATTCTTAGGATAGCAACCTGTAACTAGTGGAGTGCCACAGGGATCAGTGCTGGGGTTATCAATAGGAAAATGAACATATCATTGCCAAGTTGGTAGATGCAATATAATGTGGGAAAATGTGAGGTTATACACTTCAGAAGGTAAAACAGAGAAACTCAATATTGCTTATATTGTTTAAATGGAGAAAGACTGCAGAAAGCTACAGCACAGAGAGATTTGAAGATCCTTGTAAATGATTCACAAAAATCTAGCACTGAAGTTCAGCAGGTAATGGGAAAGGCAAATGGAATGTTGGCCTATATTTCAAAGGGAATGGAGTATAAAAAAAAGGCAAGTCTTGCTGAAATGATAAAAGGCACGAGTTAGACTATATCTAGAATAACGTGAACAGTTTTGGTCCCCTTATCCAAGAATGATTCACTGGTATTGGAGGCAGTCCAGAGAAGGTTTACTAGGTTGATCTTAGGTATGGAGATATTTCCTTATGAAGAGAAATTGAGTAGATTGGGCCTGCACTTATTGGAGTTTAGAAGAATGAGAGGAGGCCTTCCTGAAACATAAAAGATTCTTAGCGGGTTTGACAGAGTAGCTGCAGAGAGCTTGTGACCCCTTGTTGGAAAGACTAGGATCAGAGGGCATAATCTCAGAATAAGGGGTTAACTCATTTAAGACAGAGAAGAAGAAGAATTTCTTCTCTCGGGGACAGTGAATCTGTGGAATATTTTACTGCAGAGGGTGGTAGAGGCTGGCATGTTAAGTGCATTCAAGGCTGAGATAGACAGATGTTTAATCAAGTGATCACATCAAGTATTATGTACAC